TCTGTCTTATGAAGCCACATTTCCCGACTATTCTATCTAAGTGTGGTACCAAGGCGAATAAAACTTTATTTATTCTGTGTAATTCCCTGCTACATATTCTGTGTGAACTTTTTTGAAAAGTTGTTCTGGTACTTGGCAATGAGCAAAGTGATTGATTTGATAACTAGGATAACTAGATGGATAGTTCTAGGATAGAGTTAGGATAACTGGATGGCTTTAGCCCTTGAGTAGAGCTGTGTGTTAACCTGTGAGATGTTTTCAGCTGGCTTGCTGCCATTTCCACGGAAGAGACAGTGAACAGCTGTCCCAGTAGCATGTGGTGCAGTCATAGCTCCCAGCCATCTCCTGTGCCCAAATGTTGCATGTCATTCAGCATCTGGGTTCTCTGTGAGAGGAATGGCTGGTATGGAGGCACACTCAGCTCCCACTTAAGATGTTTTCAACCACAAGAGCTCAGCTGAAGTCTGTGTTGACTTGCCATTTGTAAGATATGTGGTATCTTAATGTATCTAATGATGTTACACGTTGCTAAGTTGTTCTGTTGTTGATAGGAAGCCACTGTAGGATAGAATTCTCTGCTATAATGAGATCTAATGCATAGCAGTTAAATGTCAACTCTGTGATACTTGAAACTTTAATTAAAGGTATTGGAAGATAGAAAAAAGTAGTGGATTTAAATGTGGTTTGTTTTTTTTTTTTTTTTAAATATAGGAGCAATTCCTAGGGACTTGAACCAGTTTATCTTTTTTTGTTTTGTTGCCAAGAGAGAGAACATTTGACAAGACGCTAATTGCTCTACAACACATGTAAGGAATATAATATTCAAGGCAAACAAATATACCAAAACCAGAAGGATAAGTGGTCTGGAAGATCTAAGTAATGGTAATGAAAATAATCTACGTCTGTGTATAATTACAGCTTTCTAAACTCAAATTACACTAGTCTTAAATTTCTTGTTGAATATGTTGTGTTTTGTTGTAGATGTGTAGAAACGCTGTAAAAATGTGTTTGAATCTTGCTTTGCGTCTGTACTACCTCATCTTTCCTTTCACTGCACCGGTCAGAGCAGCTGCAAATGTAACTCATCATTTCATGAAACAATTTTTTCAATCTAGTTCTTGAAACTGGAGTTTCATATTTCGTATTTGCTGTATCTCAAATTCAGCCTGCATGGTAGTCTTAATGGAGTGGGTCAGTTCAGCAGGAAAATAAACATGGTAATAGCAAGGTTTGATGTAGGCTTTCTGAGGCATATAAAGGTTACCACATCCTCAGAGAAAAAATTGCTGCCCTTCAATGATTTATCAGCCTTGAAAAATCCTTCATGTGTCTTGCTCTCCCTCACACCCCTCCCCCTTCAATTTAACCATAAGATATAGTGATTATGGTCTGCAAGCAAAGTTTTAACAAATTAGTAAGGAGATGTACATCACCTTAACTTCTGAGGTTTTGGAGTAGCAAAGGTATTCAGATACTTGAGTTTTAAAATTACATTTAAGTTAGGTTTATTTGCTAAATATTGCTACAATACTGTTTTAAGATTTCCAGCTGAGTGGAGTTGTAAGGTTGCAATTTTCTTTCTTTGCATATCAGCTAGTAACAAATCAGAAATTACTGGGAGGCAGTGACACAACATGTAAAATTAATGTATGTCAAATCCCTGCAAAGTGTGCATTATAGCTGGCATGAACTTATTTTGATGCTGTTATGTGTGCCCTGGCCTGAGAAAATATCCCGACAAATAATGACCACAAATTTATTATTCTAGTGGCATTCCATGTGCATTTAATGTTTGGTTAGTGTCTGTGCTAGCTGGCCAATTAACTTTTTATTTTTTAATAAGATCAAAATATTTTCAGGAAGTATTTACAGCATTTACATATTTAGGTTGTAGCCTGATATTGTGAGCTTTTTTAATATGTCAGGAAAATGGTATTTTAAAGTATTAAGTACTGATAGCATTAATATTATTTTAATACTGAAAAAGGCATTAGACTTTTCTCCTTATTCATTAAACTTCCCTCTTGTGCTCTTATGATTAAGAGCTGTGCCTCCCCTTAAACGATTTCAGTTGCTTTCAATCTTGCCTTAAGCTTAGCTTTTTGTGTGAATGACTTTTGTTGGTGCAAGCGTTGTTATCTTTTACCAGGAAGGTTATTCATCAAATGCAAGCAGCTTTTTAAGATCACATTAGAAGCTGGGATTTTGCTGCACTCCAAACAAGCTGAAAAAGCAACTCTGTCCTGTGATGGTGACAACATAGGAATGTCATTTGACCATATAATTTGTTCACATATTTCACCAAATGAACATGCTGAAGCAATTTACAGTCAGAGATGTAAAGAAATTGTTTGTATTTATGTCCATGATTTTAACAAATGCTTTCTTCTCCTTTTGTGTGCTTGAGTTCTCTGTAAAGGATGTAACATATTTGCTCCTAAAAGGCAAACAAATGGATTTCCCATGTGTACTTTCAAATGCTTTATTGGGTGAAAGTTAGTGCTTACAACAGAACATTAGTTTTATCTGAGTGGTCTTATTTTAATTATTTAAAAAATAGACTTCTTTTGGAGAAGAAAAATACCACAAAGTCCTAATCTACGGCATAAAGGTTAGAGATTAATATCCCATATTCTCCCTGTTGTATAAGGGATCCTAGAAAGCTGGTTGAACATCCAGGTGTCTGCAGTGGGAGCTTTTAATCCTTGAATCTCTGCTCACCTCAGAATATCTCTGAAGGCTGTTCCCAAGTAGTTTGCTAGAAGCCTCAAGTGTATAAGAATTCAAAATGGCATTTAGCTATCAGATCTCTAAAATAGCTTTTGGTAATTTGTGTTTATTTAAAAGCAAAACACAACAACAAAACAAAGTGAAAGAACTTGGTAAATAATTATGCTCAATGGCACATGCTCCTCAGCTAGAAGGATTAATGGGAAGGCAGTTTTCCACTAAAGACTTAGGAGAAGAGAGTATAAGGAAGCACTCAGTAGTGTGTGTTTTTTTTAAAAAAAATTACAGGAGAAATCCTTGCAATTTTTTTCAATTGCTTAATAGATGTTTTCCATTTATCTTTTAACTTACATAGGTATTTTTTAAGACTAATTATAGTAATTTGGGATAGAGAAGAGCTTTGCTGAATTTTGAAAAACATCACATTCTTATTACGAAGATTCTATTTCCAGCTATAGTTGATACTTGCATTTAAGCATTTCTGGAGTACTGCTTTATTTAAAATGGTGTACAAAGTCAAGTAATTAATGAAATACAAATTTCTATACTCATAAAAAGCTTCTGTTTCAATGTGCTGATGGGACTCGGCACACAGTGACAGATAATTTCCCTCACCAGCATGAACCATAATAATTTTCTTGAAACGCTGTCTGTTTTGGGGAATGTGGGCTTGTTTTGTTGCTGTTATAGCAAGTCTTTAAGAAAAGTTACTGATCTCCACAAGGCCCAGTAACCCAAAGCACGTACTAATTTGGTGAAATGTAGTATAAGAACCCGCACAAATTCCTTCCCTCTGGTACCCTCAATGCATGGTGCTATGAAACGCATGTGTTTGCAGTATTTAATTTTTAATTGAGTTATGTGGCTGTTTTTCTCTGTAAATGATTAACAATAATGAAAAAGCCATCAGTATTCAGTGTAGCATTTCGGTATTTTGGAAATTGGATGCTTTTTCCCAATGTATTTCCAAACATTACGGTTCCTATGTAATGTAGACGCTTAAGCTGAACTTATATTGGAAAATTCAGACATGCCTGGGGACAGACTGAAATGGTATCCTTTGTGGTTGAAATGCTCTCCAGTGAAGTTGGGTATGTTCTAACTACTTGCTACCAAAAAATTCCCAGCCGTGGCTTAGGAGCTGGGAGGGCAGAGATGGTTTACAGCACGTGGTTTGTACACCATCACACTGTTCTGGAGACTGAGAGAAGAGATACAAATATATTTCTGCCTTTTCCTAGAAGAGGTAAGAATTGTTCTGTGCTGCTTGACTTTGGTACCCGGTCATGTTTTTAGGTGCATTTATTGGTGAGTATAGGCGTAGTATGAAACCTTCTTACATGACGTAGTAAAGGCGTCATCTTTATTAGGATTCTGGAAATAGAACTGGTATTATGACTAGGACTTGCAGTGCAGATGTAGAAGAGGAATCAGAACTTCCTTTGGCAAGTGTGCAAGAACCACAGAAGTTGATGGCACTTAAATCTGTTGGCTAAATGTAGTGTACAAATGGGCATACAGTTGCTAATTATCTTCTAAAACTTCTTCCAAATGCATAGTGGCATAATTCTGGCTTGACATCTTGTATTTTTGTGGCAATGAGCATACAAGAACGTGGGGTGTTTTTGTGTTGAAAGGAAAATGAGATTTATAGATTCAGAATCAATGTTAGAAATTGGAAGAGGGAAGGAGATGTAACTCCCCCATATTACCTGAATCAGAAGTTCAGCAGAGTTGCCTGTGAAGCCCAGAATAAGCTTCACTGAAGTGAATGCATGAAAATAGCAATTTGAAGATATTTTGGAAGGTTTTTTCCAGTAGTAAGTCTGCCACTCTGGATATAACTGCTAGATAACCTGACTTCTCTTTTTTAGATAACTTCTCTATTTGAGCTATTCCTTCCTAACATGGGGCTTTTTCAGATTTTATTTAATGGTTTTGCCTGTGTTGTGCATTTGAGTATTATGGATTAAAAAAAAAAAAAAAAAATCCATCCTTCCTAGTACACTTCCTTCTTAAACATTTTTTTTTTTTTTTTTAAAGTAAGAATTGCTGAATAAATGAAATGCAAAAGCTTGTCTTAAATTTTTGGTCTGTTATGTTTGGTTTTTTTTTTTTTCAAGTAATGGAAGAAATAATCATCCTTTCTCTTAAAATCCAAAGTTAGCTCTCTTGAATCACTTTGAGTTTAAAACTCCAGAAAACTTAGTTATTGCTGTTTGCTTTGAAAACACAGAATTAAATCAATTAAAGAGATTATTTTAAAGATTATGTACTTTTTTCAGGAGGACCCCAATGATATCGACCCCAAAAGGAAAGATGTGCATGGCAGTGATGGAGAGGACAAAGCACAGAGTGTGGAGACACTACCTCCAGGTATTGCAGTAACATTTGTTATGAAAGATTCATAGCCATAAAACATTTATCCTTGAGAGCCATAAAACACGGCAGTTACTCTGATTCTAATAATACTTTGTAGTTTGGAAGTGCTAGGATTATTTTAGCAATATGTACGTCTCTATTCTTAAAGCTCCAGCTTCCTTAAATCTTACCTGTTTTGCTTCTTGTTTGACTTTAAAACCACAGAGGACGTGACTCTTTGCTAGTACATTTATATTGTCCTCCAATAAGTTTGAGGTGCTGTAAAAGCTGGCACAGAAGTAGACCGTTTCTCTTGATGCATAACGCTGGCAGGCAGCAGACACCTTAGGACTGTGCTTCTGAATGAAGCACAAAAAAAAGTTTGATGTGGCAGATTCTTTTGAGTATGCTGGTGGTGTATCTTATTTTTCTCATACTTGTCAGTATTTGTCACATAGAATCACAGAATTGTAGAGGTTGGAAGGGACCTCTGCAGACCATCTAGTCCAACTCCCCTGCCAAAGCAGGTTCACCTAGAGTAGGTTGCACAGGAATGTGTCCAAACCAGTTTTGAGTATCTCCAGGGAAGGAGACTCCACAAACTCTCTGGGCAGCCTGTTCCAGTGCTCCAAATGCTGACAGATAACAGAGCAACATGATTTTTATTTGATTTGAATGAAATGGTCTTATGCCTGGAGGATGAGCTAGGGAAATTAAATGTTAAGGAATCTTCATTTCATGTGACTGCTTCCATAAACAACTTTTGCTGCTCAACTGTTTCTCATCAATAAGATTTAATATATAGCTAGAATTGACATAATAAGGAAAATAGTAAAATGGATTTGAATATTTTACACTGGATTGAAAAGTGTAAGATAGCTTCACAACATGTTTTACTCTTCTATTAAACCTAATGTTTGGTTTACAAATTTACCCTAGCCAAACATTTGAAATACTGTGAGGTGTTGAAAGAGGTAACCAAGGTAAACTATCCTTTAATCAGCTGGAAACTTCCATCCCCAATAACGTGTGAGTTATGCTTTTTGGTTTAAAACCTTATAACTCCCAGTCCAGTATAAGCTGTTTGACATTCATGGCTTTTTTTTCCTGTAGCCTTTGGCCTACCTTGTCTTAGTTTTTTGATGGAGAGGGACAAGAAGACTCTGGTTATGTATGTATGCTTTTTTGGCAAAACTTGTACTTTGTGTATAAATTAGGATATAAATCCTAGAAAGTCTAAGAGCCTGGCTTATTTAAATTGGTTTCTGGAAGATCTTTTCAAGTATTTTTTTGCCTCAACACAACTCTTTGCAAATATTGTTAATGGGATTAGAGGTCAGCCAATTTTGCACCTTCAAGCTACTATTCTTATTTCCCCTTTTTGAATGTTTGTGTTCTGGACCAAACCCTATACATTTCCTCTGAGACCTTCCTTGCCCAGTGGCTCTCAGAAGCCATTTGAGTATTGAAAGAAATGGGAAGTGTTACAGTTTGAAAAGAAGAGGTATCAGAAGCTGGAATGGTTGAAGCTGGAAGTAAAATTAAGTGTAAAGTAGAGCCGGTCAGGTTTTTTGTGGTTTTGGTTGGGGTTTTTTTTGGTTTTTTTTTGTTTTTTTTTTAAATTTAATCTGTTGATTAGTAATCTCTTACAGCTTGATATAACAGGCAGAAGGATTGTTGTGCAAAGTAGTATGAGTCTCAAATCAAACATCAAAGGTTATGTCAACAGAATGATGCACTCTTAAATCACTATTTTGATTATTTTCAATTCATGTAGTCAAACTTTAGAATCCTTATGGCAGTGAAGCTTGGAATTCACATTTCTGCAGATTCTTTGCACTGTTGTAAAGCAAAGCGAACTAATGTTAAGAGGGGTTTCCTTTGAAATTTTCTTGCACTTCCACTGAGGTGAGGAGAACTTTAGGTTTCAGAATTATGCAGCATGGTATCTTTCAGAACTTCTTGGAATTAGGGAACTGTTTATTATCTTTATCATTAAAATGGCTTTATATAAAGATTGAACTGTTGGGGTTTTTCTACCTTCTGTACATCAGAGTGTTTTTATCCTTTGTCTTTTGGTGACTTTTTTTATATGCTGCACAAGTCTACATCTTGTTTTGTGAAAATAGTGATGTTAACTTCTGTAGAGCCTGAATCGTCTGCATGGTGTCATGGAGGCACCCACAAAACACACAACAGTAGCTACCCAAAGTGCAGATTTATTCTCTCTAAAAATTACCCAGCACTCCAATGGACCAAAGCAAATCACAAGTATTAGGTGGGAATATAATACCAGACAACTAATTCCAAAGTTGTGTGAATATCGTTTTTAGAAGGATGACCCAAAGGTACCCAGAAAAGGGAATCACTTGCCTACAAGGGGTGAGGGCTCACTCAAGGATATATCTATGTATGTGTCTCCAGAAGAGGTATTCACTCACCAGAAGCAGAAATGAGGATGAGGAGCTTACTCAATCCTGCAAGTTTCCTTGGGTGGTGTCATCATCCAAGGGAGAAGTCCCTGACTTCAGACCCACTGCTCTGAGGAAGACCGAGTTAAATCAAATTGTCTCTCTGGCGTGGGGGCTCCGTTTATACCCTAGTCAGGCCAGAATGTTATTCTAATTAGTCAAGTTTTAATGGCCATGAAGTCCCAACCTTTGCAGGGTCTTTATCTGTGCAGATGCACCTGCCACACATGGATAACTGAAGTAAAACTGTATCACCAGTGCTCTGTAAAAATAGGGAGTTTCAAATGGCCTTTTCTTAGAGATTCCAGGTCTTCATTAACTTAATGCCTGTAAGTCAAAATAATCATATTTATATTGAGCATCCTAATGCTTTTCAGCTGTATTAAGTCAGCAGGAACACAAGCTATTTAGGGGATTTTGCATCTCTCTCTGCCTATTCTATTGCCTGCTGCTTGGCTGCATGCAGATTTATCTGCTATGCTTTTTTTCACCTCTTCTGTCTCACTTAAAGCTTCTCTTACTGTTATCTGAATTTCCCCTAATTGATGGGGCCTTCTGCTAGAGCCAGGCTTTGCCTCCTTCCTGGCTCCTGAAGCCAAATTCACTTGTTCTTATACTCTGTGGCTCTCACTGCTGTTCAGTAAATTTAGCCCTTAGAAATGGGTTTTTTTATCCTTCTGTTCTATGCCATGCTTTCTGGACTAGTGTTGCATTTGCTAGTTTAAGTCTTGGATAATGGTAAATACTACATTTTAAATTGTTTATATCAAACTCCCCTTGGATGGAAAGTGGAATGGAATAGAATATACCAAACTAGCACTATTTTTTAAAATACAGCTACTTATTACAGAGAAAAAAAATCAATATGTATTACTATTTAAAAACAACCAGCTTATTATTAAAAGTAGTAGCAGTGAATTGTATTGTTTTTGTTCATAGCCTTCTCCAAGACTTCAGAGTTTGGAAATACTTGGGACAACAAGAAGCATCTTTGTTGGATATCACCTTTTTCTTGTTTCTACTCAGCTTTTCAGACTCAGAAAAGCCTGTAAAATTAGGACTTCTTATCAAAAACAGTGTAGCACTGCAGCATACCCTGGTTCAGGATTCTTAATTCTTAGCTGGCTCAGTGAATTTTTTTTTTTTTTTTCCTTTTTCTTCCTCTTTTTTTGTCTTACTTGGCTCTGGTTCATTCACTGTTGAGTTTTACCAGATTGATTTATTGTCATATTAGGCCTAAGTACATGTAAACACACATTTGCTTGCATTTGAAGTTACAAACTTCTTAAATTAAGTTTGAAATAATGCAGTTGCATTTTCTGATACTCATTCCACCTGGCAAAATCATTCAAACTCAGGAAACTATAAAGCCAGCTAGTTCCCCAGAAGAAATTAAATCAAACTTGCTCCTACTTGTGTTCTCCAGGGAAGCATGCAACAGAAACAGTTCCTATTATTAGTAAAGGTTTTATTAAACCACTTTTAACTTCAAAATTTGGTTGATAGATTGTTAAAAAGACAAGCCTTTCAACAAAATAAGGCTGGACAGTATTCCTAGCTTTGGATCAACCTTTCATTTTCCAGCAGTTCACTTGAGCTGTTACAACTTGTAACCAAGTGGGCAGTCCACGTTGCATGTTGTAGTTCAAAAAGAACACAATTTAAGAATAAAGCTTGTGACAGCATCACACATGCTGCTGATATGATGATCTCATGACCTCTTGGGTTTTAGCTACTATTTCTACTGGATGGAAGGCAACTGAAGTAGTGGGTGGGGGTGACAGTCCCAAAGCAGGCATAGCATTAAAATCCATTAGCAGCTGGAATGTTTGAAAGTTGAAAGTCCTATATGAATGCATTTTAAGTGTAGACAATACTTCATAAAGTTCACTAAAATCTTTATTTTTAGACCACAATAAACAGTGTTATGACATATCCGGTATTTCAGAAAATATTCAACATATGTTCCAGATGGAAGCTATACTATAAGTTAGAAGGAAGGGTGAAATAATTGAGTTTCCAAGGAAGCTGCAAAAGCATTGGGAAATGCTAAGGGAGAGAGTTATACAGGGAGATGATCTTTTGATCTCTGTTGTTTATTCCAGTTTGCTGAATCGAGACACTCTGCATTTGGTATAGTTTTGTTGCAAGTGAGGGTTGGTGTAATTTTTGTAAACAACTCTGTATTGGGTTGTTTGTAGTGTGGTAGCTGGCTGAGGTGTAAACTTGTTTTCAAAGTAAGTTCCTGGAAATATTTTGAAGAAAGAACTTGAAAGGCTAAGAAAAACTCTTGGCAGTTTGTGGGCAACCAACAACAGCTGGAAAGTTTCCTTTGTAGAGTTCTTCCAGTAACTCCAGTTTGAAAATCTACTTCTCTTCCAATTATTTTCCTATAGCTTCCCCTCTGGGCTGCATCACCGAGTGTCTGTTAAAAGTTCTGCAGTCTGGTTTTGTTCAGCTCTCTAGTTCTGGCTTGTGTGTGTGTGTGTGCGTGTTTTAACTTCTTCATGATAGTAATTCAGATGTTAATACTAAGTGACTGTTTTTACTAGCTAGGTCTTAAGCCAGTAATTCAAAAGTATGGGAAGTGTGGGTGCTTCTCTTACTCTGTGGCTTTACTTGGATGTTGGAAATTTCTTTAAAAAAAAAAAAAACCCTCACCCACCCAAAGCCACCTCATCCCTTGTCTGGTTAAACAACAGGCAATTCTTTTGTTTGATGATGGGAAAGTTTTCCTTCAATATTAGAATCTTCTAGCAGGAGTTAAGGCACCATAGTTAGGGCACAGCTTATGGATAGAAGGGCCTGCCTTAATTTTCATGCTGTGTGGGTTGAGAAGAGAGCAAAAGCAAACCTTGAAACATCTGAGCAACTGCTAATTCTTGTTAATAGCTGTTAGTGTTCCCTCTATCCATGTCAGCTTAGTTTAGGATATGCCTGAACTATGTTATTTGTCTAAAAGCTGAGCTTGAATTCAGTGACATCTCTGCAACCTACTACCTACTGAACTTGTTTGAAAGTACTGTGTTTGCAGTGTTGGAATGGCTCACCACAACATGCTTGCAGGAGATTGATACATATCTGTGTTAAAGAAAGAATGTCTGTATTGCATTAGAACTTGAGCTCTGATTTTGAGTTAAAGGTGGTATACATTTACTGTATATTTTTGAATAGGCAAAAGAGTTAAGGTTCAACCAGAGGTAAGAATTGATATTTTTAGGATGTTTGATAAATATACCGGTGTTCCACACCTGAAGATGGTGAAAATCTTGAATTCTCACTCCTGGTGTCTGGATGCTAATCTACATTGAAGTGTTAGTGTGTCACAACCAGTCACATAATAACAGTCCTTTTCAAAGAGAGGTTAATTTGTGAATCAGCTCTGATTGTAAAGGAGCTTGCAGTTCTGTCATGCTGGAGTGCAATCTAGTGCTCTGCCTGTATGAGATGCTGGGTTTTGAGAATAATGTTGTCTTGTACTTCTGAAAGGGGCCTGTTCTTCAGATGGTTTCATTATAACTGACTGTGGTTTTACTTAGATAATGAGACAGTAAATTAAATTGCAAGGTTTTTAAAGTCTGGAGTGGCTCTTGAAAAGTGAGTGTTACTTGGATAACTTTATAGCCAGATCATGTACAGTGTTAATACCTGTCAATATATGGAGAGGGTTTTTTTTATTAACATGGAAATTGTGGTAGTTGGTGTTAAAAAAGCAAACAACCAAACCCATGACAAATAAAATGGCCAAGGCGGAGCATGGTCTGATCATTACTTGTATAAACTGAGATCTGTAAAACTGTTCAATTTTATATTAGTTTGCAGGGTGTTGTAGAGGAATGTAATATGCAAAAGTGACTGATGTTGAATAATTAAACTGTGGATGTTTAATTGTTAAAAGCCAAGCTATTTCATCAATTGTTTGGAATGCCAAATGCTGTTCTTTAAATTGGGAAGATTAAATTGGATCTTTCCCTGGTTTTTCTATCGTAGGAAAGGTTCGGTGGCAAGACTTTGATCAAGATGCCTACGTTGGCGCTACCGTGGTGCGGTCTGGGCAGGATCCCTACGCCCGCAACAAGTTCAATCAGGTAGAAAGCGACAAACTGCGAATGGACCGGAGCATCCCCGACACGAGGCATGACCAGTAAGTGCCAGGCTGAGCCGTGTTGGACTTGAGTTAACTTCTTTGTATTTGTGGCTTTTGAGCAACAGGTGGGTGTTCTAAAGCAGAAGCTCTTCGCCTTTCAAAAGGACAAGAACGTGAAACTGTGGTGTGATCCTTAAACCTTGGATTAAAGAACAATGAATCTTATTCATGTTTTTCTGTTTCCATGACTTCCATCAGTGTATATTTTATATCCAAACTGGTGCTGTATTTCAGTCTTTTTGTTCCTGTTTATCTGATGACTTTTCTTCATTTGAAGTCTCACTGTGAGGATTATGAAACAGTGGAGCAGGTTGCCCAGAGAAGGGTGTGAAGCCCCCAGACTTAGGGATATTCAAAGCCAGATGTGCAGCCTGCTGTATCTGGCCCTGCTTTGAGCAGGGAGTTTGGACTAAAAGGTTTCCAGGGGCCCCTTCTGATCTCAGTCTCTCTGTGATTCTGTTCTTCTAAGTATGTGACGATTGTCAACTCCAGACCTAAAGGAATCCCTTTATGCACACCCCAGTGAACACAGGACAGAATTACAGTTCAGATGCTTAAAAAGTTTTGCTATGTCAGGCTCCTTGTGCAGAATTAGGAAACGGTATACTTCAGAGCAAGTAAAAATTATTTTCTTGTGGGTAGAGAAGACTCTCATTTAAAAAAATGTTCAAGTGACTTGCACTAATCTCATTTAAGCAGAACTGATTAATATTAAAACAACAGTTGCTCATTAAGACTTCAGCAGCTTAAAGAAAAATGGCTAAAGCAGGTTGAACTTGGTTTTAAAAACTAGACAAGCTTAGTCTCAAAGCATAAAATTAACCAGCTGTGTGTAGTTAATTTGCCTAACTAATTCTGCAGTAAGGATGAAAGTACCTTCTCAGCTTTGCAGGTAGAAGAAGCTGGAAGAGACACCAGAGGGAGAGAGAAAAGGAAGGGGCCTGTTTTTAATTCATAAAGCTCTTTAATCAGGAATGGCAAACTGAAGGAGATTTATATAAAAACTCAGACACTTAACTGTGTTATTTTTAAATCCCTTGCATAATAGCATGAGTTTAGGTTCCTTTAAACAGATCATTTGTAGATAAAGCAAATTTTGTATAACTTTCCATTAATTAAATGAGAAAGTAGAAAGAATCTGATGTGTGACTTGTTACCATGAAAACAGTGAAAAGCATAATGCCCATGGTATACTGAGGCGTTTTAAATGGCTTCTGAATTTTCTTTTATCACATATACTTACACAAAAAATGCATTCTAACTTTTTCAGACCAGATATTCTTCTCCCATAAGAGCAAAGCTCAACCACTGACTTCTAGAAGCTTCTATGATTCAGATACACTGAATTTGGAATATTTCTAGGCATTTAATAACCTCTGAGGGGGGTCTAACAGGCAAATGCTCTCCTTTGAGAAGAACTTAAGTAAGAGAGATTACAGGAGAGAAATTATATTATAGTGACTATGTTTGTTTTAATTGCCAGTGTTGTGATTATATGATGACCTGCTGGGGTTTATTCACTACAGGGAGCTGGAAAAGAACCATTCACTGGGGAGAGAGGGAGATGTTTCTGGGGGAAGGCTGTATCAGTACTGTGATTATTACTTAGACATTGCCACAATGAGGGTTTAAGTGCCCATCAGTCTAAAAATAGTCATCTTTTCAAAGGAAAAAAAATAAACAAACAACCAACCACACCTCAAGACCTCAAACTGTCTTTCCTGAAAGTTGTCCATTGGTGCCCTGCCATGTTGCAATTAATTTTCCTTCTATTTTGGCAAGGGCATTCACTGCAGAAGCTGAAAAAGTCACATGAAATATTTGTTTGGGAACTGTCCAATGGAAATAGCAATAGCTCTAGGAAGAAGAATGTTACAGACCTGAGCATGTGACACTTGGAAGGAAGTATGTTATTTTCAATAAAATTGGAGACAATAGAGTTAAAATTAAGATCTCTTATGGAGCTGCTAAAATATTTTCCTTTAAGAAAAGAAATCTACATGAGGAAACAGTTGTTTCTGCTTACGTAATTTTTAATTGATTGTATTGATGTGTCTGAGAGGCTGTTAGCCTTTAAGATGAGTATGTAATAGTACTACTTGATGGCTGAAATTGTCTAGGCTGTTAAGAAGCAATTTATCAGGATTTTACATTAGATGTGTAAATGTGCAATTATACATCTCTTTTTATACTATATTATTTGGTCTTTTCTGCTTTGGACAAACTTTTACTAGCAGCTTAAGACCAAAGTTTTCTACTTGCTTTTTGTGAAAGCCTGCCAGCAGTACTAGAAAACCCTTTGGTTTGCCTATTAAAGCTACTTGCCTTTATTTTAAGCAAAAGGGAGAAGTGAGAGCCAGATACAACATAACGAAGGAAGCAGAGAGAGG